CAACAATTTGTATCTTCCTCAATTCATCAATTACCTTATTCTCCATTAGATCTATATCAAATAGCAATTATTGCCATTTTACCAGATGATCGTTCGATTCTATTACGATATATTATTGAAACATTGTTTATTCTACATGGTGAAACTAAATTAAATATGATTTGTCCACTTGGTGGTGATTCTTATCAACGATACGGTCCACCTCATGAATTTATTTGGTGTAGTAACTTAGCTTATCCATCACTATCATCTCATTCACGTAGTCGTAGTAGTAGTATCAGCAGTGGATAATAGTTATTGTTTTTTTTTTTTTTTTGTATTTTGCGTGTCATTATATGAAATATGCGTGCTTGAATAATTTCTCTGTTATCTTCGTCATATATATATATATATATGGTTCTATTCTAGATTTGTAATATTTTCGTGAACTTCACAAACTATATTTATTGAAAAAAATGATCAATTGAACCATGCATTCATCCGCAGGTAAATATAATAGCCACTCGAAGATTAAAACTATGGTCGAAGGATGAATTTCATGATGATAACTAACGAGAAACTTTGATTTAGATATTCAAATGAATAACTTTGATTGTTCAATGGAAGTTAAACAGCAATCACTTTCATTGCCATCATCATCATCATCACCATCATTTATTCCTAACGTATTGAACACTAATGATTCGATAATGACTATAGTACCATTTGCTCCATGTCATCATCAATCAAATATTAATGCTGAATCTGAAGGTAAATACATATTGCATCTATATAAGTCTCTGATAATCAAAAATCTTTTTTTAATGAAATTATCTTATGATTCATTTAGATCTATTCGAGATAGCACGACAAAAGAAATTCAATTTAACTATTCCATCAGAACATGAAGAACCGAGGAGGAAACTTCAATTGAAGAGAAAAGCTTTCGCTATTGTTTGTCGATCGAATATGACAAGTAAGATAAGTTTTTAAAAGTAAATCTCAGAATGTCTGAATATATTTTTTTATTTTACAAATAGAATATGAGATTATGATACATATCTACCGAGAATTCGGATTTTTTATACAATATATTTGTGTTTCGTCTTTCAATGATTCACAAATAAATTGTACTTCGTCACCAATGATCTACATTCAAATCATTCTTCGAGAGAGCATCAATAAGAAAACTTATTTTCTCAAGACAATAGCAGGTGCGAATAGACTTGAATCATATAGGTATTTTAATAATATTTATATTGCAACTATTTCTATTCTAGGAATGCAATGTAATTATCGAGTGACAAATGATGATCGTTCCTGGAATTCATTCTTGAAAAAAGGTTTTCAATAGTTCTTTTTAACCATTGATCGAAATAGAAATGAAATTTCATATTTTGTCTTTTTTGTAAATAGGCCAATATATAGAATTTGGAGAATTTCGATCGTTGGCATTACGTGCTGGCGGAAAATGGTCTAAAAAATTTCGAGATGAACAGAAACAAATGAGAGAAATCAAAGCATATATTGAAAATGCCATGCAACTTGCTAATACACAAATATCATTTGAATCACAATATGGAAAAAATGCGTAAGCATCAATACATTTCTGATTTTCGAAATATCAAAAAAATCAACTTGAAACTTTATCTTCTATTTCCAGGCTTCTAAACACATTACAATCGCTTTATTTTCTGATACAACGAAATATCACACAATATTAAAACAAACATCATTCTTTTTCGTTTCATTTTTTGTTACATGCTTCCTCGATGGTATTTGGTGCAATAATTTAAATCATCCATCACTATCATCTCATTCATGTAGTTGTCGTAGTAGTATCAGCCGTAGATAGTAGATATTGTATTTTTACTGTTATTATATAAAATATATTCGTGTGTGAATAGTTTCTCTGTTATCTTCGCTATATATATATATATATATGTATGTATATTATTCTATTTTAGATTTGTAATATTTTCTTGAAATTCGCTGAGTACATTGCATTTATTAAACAACTGATCAATTGAACCATGCATTCATCCGCAGGTAAAAATAACAGCTATTTGAAGATCGAAACTATAGTCGTAGAATATACATTCAGTCCTTTTGTCAATTTCATGATAATCACTAAGAGC